AAATACATGAAATACATGAAATACATGAAATACATGTTATACATGAAATACATGAAATACATGAAATACATGAAATACATGAAATACATGAAATACATGAAATACATAAAATACATAAAATAAATAGGATTTAACAGTGACATACAGTGCAGTTCTTCATCCATTGAATTCCAATTGGAATTCAGAAGTCGATTTTTGCGGAGGGAAGAAAACCGGAGAAAACCCCTCAAAGGACAGGAGAGAACCAACGAGTAACTCTACTCATATTTTCGATCTTGGCTTAGTTTTCGTCGTTCTCCAAGAATCTGTAGCTGATAAATTCTCTACTGTACCCTCGGGTTGAAGAATCTGGTATACACCTCGGTTAAGGTATATATATTTCCTTTACCGGCTCACGTATGACACTGAGTCCGGGTCCTCTTGGTGAGAGGTGATCGCTCTTACCGTTACATAACCACAGGTCCTGCAACTTGTCTCGCAACAGCGTCTGGGCTGATCTAAGTCAGGGCAAGGATAACTAACAGATCGAACAAAACCGTTTGGCTGATCAAAGTCAGGGCATGGCTAATTCTCATATTAAGTTTCGAGGAATTATTCATCATATTTTTCCTAGAATGTTACGAAAGACTAAAACAGATAGGAAAAACGAACAACAAAATATCTACTCACAGCTAGTCACAAAACGACGTCGAGTTTGGGAACCGATCCCCCGTTACTTCGCTAAGCTATTAAGAGCGCTTTAATATGAACCACTGTAGAGATTATTCTACTTCAGAGAAAATGCAGTACCTCTTGTGATGAATCCATAATTTTTATTTTATTTTTTATTTTCTTGGCCAGTTGTTTAAAATCTCATTGTCTTTTAGTCATATTAGCAGCCATACTGCAGCGTCACTATAGAAACACCGGTTTGCGAGTTCGCATTTTAACAGATTTTTTAAGAGTTTATTAACCTTTTGAAAGGAAATCGTTCACTTTTTTAAATGTGGGCGCTAAACTTCTTAAGTTTCGAGAAATAAATTAACTTAATTTATGAATTAACTTTTTAATAGACATTTAAGCCCATTAATGTCGAGCAAATTCGAATAAAAAATCAATATTTTGTACAACAAAAGGAAGTTCTTGACTAATATTTGCATAAGCACATAGGCTACTGTCTGTCCGTCTGTCTGGCTGGCTGGCTGGCTGGCTGACTGATCAACTGAGTGTTTAGTCTAGCTCTAGGTCTGAGTGACTGTCTGTCTGTCTGTCACTGTCTGACTAAGTGTCTGAGTGCCTGGGTGTCTGGGTGCCTGGGTGTCTGGATGTCTGTTAAGCAGCAGTTAGGCGGAGGCGCGAATTGCCGGCATTGTCAAAAATCACAAGTCGAGAAACACCAGCCTTCCCCGGGGTTTTGGAGGTCGGTAATCCGCCCTACAGGGGGTCTTGCGCGATCCGCTTGCAG